ATTGACTGCCCCCTTCTAAGCTTATCTTAAGATATGAATATTATTTTAATTATTTATTTATATCAATCATAAAATACCCAAAGTGGTATTTTACAGTATGAGACAAATGCAGCGTGGGTCCGGTCAATTTCGCATCTATGGGTCCCAGTGAATGACGAACAAGACATGACCATGTGAATTTCGAATCGATAAAAAACCAACAGTTCTTATCATAAAGATTATGTTATATATGAAAGCAACATCGTTGATGTAAAGCAAAGGGCGAGATGCGTACGCTTTCATAATAATGCGGCCATCACGGGGATATTTGTGCCGCGTGCGTCACTTAAAAAAAAAAAAAAAAGAACACCTGAGTAATTGACTACGTCAAACTCTTGCTCAATAAAGGAAACCAAATGCTGGTAAAATTTGATACGAAGGTTCGTGCAGCTGCTTTGTTATGTATGTTTTTATTTTATTCACGTATGTACTGTCAACTTCTATCTATCAGGCAAACCAGCGAGAAGGAAATTGCAGAGTTGCTCTTTTATTTATCGTTCAAAAATATATCCTTTAAACCCATATGCTGAATTTTTGGCTGACAAAATAGGGTTGAAGATTATTCGATCACGAAAAATATGCATGAAGGAAACCAAGTACTGGTGTAATCAGTTGCGAGAAAAACGCGTGTATAAACCCCTGTATTTGTAAGAAAAGAGATGCTCGGTGCACAAATGCAGAGGGGCATACCACGCTGCAAGGCATATCATATGTGAGCTGATGACACCACATGTATCAATTGGGCTATTGCAATGCAGATTGATCGACGTGGGCAAAATATCTCTCCAGACGATCGCTAATAAACAAGTTATATTCTTCTACTACATTAACTCAGTCGCTGGCACTAATGCAATTAAAGGATACTGTAAGCGTATTAATTGCCTTTCATGCATTCTTTTGAATAACCGATAAATCTTTAGTCTTCAGTGACTAAATTAATTAATATTTCTTACAGGCGACGTCTTCCAGGTGACGTCATAATTGTGATACTTGGTCAAATGAAAAAAATTGGTTTCTCAAACTTCTCCTTTGCCTGAGCACCCACGAACATCGTTTTAACGCCAATTTAATGACACCATTCAGTTCTAAATACAATGCCCGCGACTTTTCGTAAAGGCCTTGGTTCAAGTTTTATCGTTGATAAAGCAAGTAATGCCTTATTTAGTGAAAATTTGAACTTAATGGCTCACAACGTCATAACAAAAACATTTAAACCAAAATAACGGCGCTTGATTGTAGCCTATCCACTCCTGGTCAACTCTGCCAATTTTCTTGATAAAATCTTGTTCAGGGATTAAATTACGCCCAATACCAATTGCTATCTGTTCTCAAAATAGAAAGACGTTAAATTGACGATAAGCTTTGAGTTGCTTATGCTTATACATTGCACCTAAAAAAATATAAACGCCGATATTTTGTATTTTCTAGGGTTTTTTTCATTAACATTTAACATTTGCACACGTTATCCTATGAGTGACGTCATAATTGTAATTTTTGGTCAAAATGAAAAAATCGGTTTCTAAATTTTTTTTTTTACCGGTGCACCACGATCACTGTTTCAACGCTTAATTAATGACACCATTAAGTACTCCAAAACCCTGCCAGCGATTTTTCCTCTGAAGTCTCAGTTCAGAGTTTATCGTTGCTGAAGCAAAATAATAGCTTTGTTTAGTAAAAATTTGTAATTAGGGACTCATAACTCCATAACAAAAACATTTTAACCAAACTGACGGCACGGGATTGTAGTCTAAACTCTCCTGGTCAACTCTCCTGGTCAACAATTTTCTTGATAAAATCTTGTTCAGGGATGAAGTTACACCCTATACCGATTGCTATCTCACATCAAAATAGAATCATTAACGATTAAAGCTTTGAGTTGCCTATGCCTATACATTGCAACGAAAAAATATAATCGCCGATATTTTATATATTTCGAGGGTTTTTCATTGTTTTAAATCAGCACAAAGATAGATGCATTATCGAATAATTAGATGCAGTAAAAAACTCATTTTCAGTATCTGGATGATAATAAAGGGTTACAATAACCTTATATATGTAGTTGAAAACAGATAACTGGCCATTTAAATATGTCGTGATGTTGGGTAGTACTGCCACTTAATGGATGATGCTGAATAGGCGGTGAGCCACTGATGAGCTGTAAAAGTTTCCAATTGTAGGTAATGGAACCGACATTTAGGTTAAGTGGAGATGAGCGGTTCACCAGTAGGAGTTGTTGATTCCAGTGGAAGTCTCATGTTTAATTTCGATAAAACGTGTTACAAAACAAGTAATATTGAACAACAAAAACAAAAAATACTTATAGAAGATTTGTCGATAGATGTACAGACTTATGCAGGAAAGAACAAAACCCGTGGTATCGCTGTCATATTGATACATATTTATGGCTTGTAATGCGCCCAATTTTCATCACACAAAGGCTGTCAGAGATAATTGGACATTCAGTGATGGGTATTATCACCTGGGTTTTGCCGTTTTCATGGCGACAGATCCATGCTGAGAATAAAGATTTCAGCACACCTTGCAGACTAAGGCGAGAATAGACAAGTACGATACGCATATTTACGACAAAAAACACATGACAATACACGCAAAAACTCATAATGTTTTTATAGACGTCATAGAGCTCCTGCTTGAAGTACTGTACATGGTGGGCGTGAACGACACAGTTTTGTTGTAGATCTTGCTTAATATGCGACAAACTAGACAAAGGTTTGTGTGCCCATTCCCTATGAAACTATAGTTTTACATAGATCGATCCAAACCCAAAGGGTCACTCGCTAATGGAAATATATTAAGTAAATGGCAGGTAAACGTAATTGTGTAATCATCAGCTTTTCTATATTCTAATCAACACCAGGAGGCGGCGTATAAATCTGATTGCATTCAGCGAGACTCCCCGCGGAGTTGGATTGATCTACATAGAACGACAGTTTCATTGGGAGTGGGCCCATAGACCTTGGTGGTTTATGTTTTGTGATGATGATAATAGGCTTCCTATATAAACCACAGAAGTCACCAATAAGGTATCAGATAATAAACCGGTGTGGCAGCGACTAGGGTGGTAGAGGAGGTAACAGCATGGAAAACCAGACAAATATTTCAGAATATTTTCGAGGCGATGATTTTGGAACACGGTTCAATCCATGCGAACGTTTGTCACTTTGCATTCCTTTTATGGGGTTTGAAATTATAAATTCTCTGGTCAACGTTTTCGTCAACGCTCTAGTCATCATTTCTTACGCGAAGTTCAAATGGATACGATCTCCAACAAACATGATCTTTGTGAGTATGTCTGTTGCAGATATTTTATCTGGACTACTGATCCCTTACCATTTAGTGGCGAGTTACTTTGTATACATGGTACCCCGTCTCCAAAGCCTCTCGTCCAATAAGTATTTTTGTTTCGGAAAACTGACAAGTTTTGCTGCGATATGCCTCATTTCATTGCTTCATCTGACACTCGTAGCAATGGAAAGGTACCTCAAAATATGCCGGAATTCAGCATACCTGCAAACAGTTACAAGGAAAAAGTTAAAAACTTACTTGGTTGGTTGCTGGGTTTATATTATCATCTTGTGCTCTTTGCCGATATTTGGACTCAACTCATGGACTCCAGAGAAAGAATGCAGAGTCATTGAGGTCATGGAGGTGGCAATGGTGTACATTTATGTTCCTCATATTCTGGCGTGTTTCTTATTGGCCTGCGGATGCTACATAGCTATATTTCGCAAGGTGCGGCAACACGATATCCAAGTGGACCATCTTTCCGCCCCGGTCCGTGCTCTGCCAAATCCCACACCAGAAGACCGAGAGGGCAGCCCACCGTTTCAACCGACGAGTAAACGGGGAGGTGCTTTGAAAGAAAACTCAGACACTGCAAGTGGGAATCCTGAAGGCCCCGAGTCCTCGAATTCTCAAAAGGAGCAACGGGAGATGGGGGAAAGACGCAACTGCGTTCAGAATTTCATCAAGGAGACGAACCAAGCTGTCGGGGCTGTTGCTAGGACCGAAACAGAGGTGCAACGTCTGGATGATGTTACAAAGGCATCATCTCGCAGAAAGATTGCTTGGGGACAAGACGATGAGAACATACAATTACCACGTGACCTAGTTCGGAGTTGTAAAACCTCTCCGCCTTCTGCTGTTCCAGAAATGGAACCGATGGACAATCTATTGGTGCCTGGACCCTCTTCATCTCGGAACCCCAAATTTGCTACCAATTCGATGCCTTTGCAACCATCGGGAGCAGTGCAGCCATTTTCTCATAGTGCCTTAAACCAGCTGCCCAAAAATACCAGAAAATTGCACGTTAAAGTGGCCAAAATGGCATTTGTAGCCCTGATTGGGTGGTTTGTACTGTGGATACCAGTAACCATTGTCCAAGCGTTGCAAAACCGAGGAATAGATGTCGAGTCCGAGTTGTTTATTATATTTAGAAACGTGGCATTGGATCTGGTGGTTTTCAGTTCAACCATCAATCCGTTCATATATGCTTTCTTGGACAACAAATACAAGAAGGCCTTGTCTCTGTTGTTTCCTTGCAAAATACAATGTATAAAGTAAGCAAAGGGCTCCATTTTCACTTGAATTGTTTGTACTTGATTTTTATTAGTGTGTAATCTGTAAAATAGTAGTAATTAGTGAAATATTTACTAGATATTTAGATGAATTGTCCATGATCCATGCCTTTAAGAAATATAAACAATGAAACTTCAATGTATTTTCAACAAATTTATTCTCGTTTATGCATGAGGAAAGAAACAGCGTCATAAAATTTCACCTGTGATTTACTGCATATTGAGGCTATTGTCATCTTTTGATATCAAATGGTCTACATCTTGAGTCACCACATTTCTTAACCATATTTATGTATTTATTTATTTACTGTGTTGTTTGAAGACTTTGGTTTTGTAAGTAAGTGTTTTAAGTTTAAAGACAAACTACATCGCATCAAGAGAGTGCTTCAGTTGACATTTTCTAGCAAGGTTCTTGAAAGCAGAATACGAAATGTGTTCAGCTTTAAGTTAGGTCATGTAAATAAATACACTATAATAATTGAAGTTTTAATACAGGTGATCAATATCTTCCATTTAGGAACAGGTTATTAGTGGCTTTCACAACAACATCAGTAATCTCTCTATGTTGTTGCTAAATTCATCCTTCATGCCAGGGTGTGAACAGAGCTGAAATATACAAAAATTTAAAAACAGTTCAGTATTGCAGAAGAAGTGTTGCACTCTCTATCTTTCTCTCTCTCTCACTATAAGTAAAGTAGCCTGCCTCTAATTATTCACTTTAAATTTTATGATAAATTGCATGACTCATGATAAGTGTAGTTGCTAAGTGGCCTATTGTCGCCAGTAGGAGGAAATTCTTTGTCAAGGCAATCACAATAATTTGTTCTGAGGCACAGAAAAACAGAGATAATGAGCCTTATAGATTCCTTCTGAAGTACAACTTAGTTCCTAAATATTCTTTACAATATTAACCAAATCCAACTGTACAGACTTGGCAATTTGATGAACCAGGCAACCACAGTCATTAACATTAAAACCACAAATGACCAAGCCACTGTTTATACAACTTAGGGACCATTCCCAGACCCTATTGCACTAACTGTGGATCGATCTATCTTCCACGGGATTCTCACTAAAGTGCAATTAACTTAGGGTGTTATGGGGTAATAAATTATTGTTTAGCAGCTTCAGTAGGCGTGCCAGACATCTAAGCTGTCTAAACTGAAAGTAATTTAGTGAGAAACCCCTTGGAAATGGATCGATCCTGTCAGATCTATCTAGGTAGGGGAACCCAGTCTTACCTTTACAACAGGGAAGTAGGAATCTGGAGGAACCAAGGGGTCTTTATGATAAATATCAACCAGTTTTAGCCAGACGATATCCCCATCCACCCGTGTCAGGGATTCTAGTGCTCCTATTGCTGCCTGAAATCATGAACTAGGACTAACAAACATTCACTCAATTGATAAGGCAAGAAGTTTTTTGTACTGCAGAAAGGGGCCTTAATTTGTGCCTTTACCTTTACATATTACATACATATATATAGTATCTGCTTAAATAAAATCTTAAAATGTCTGAAAGGGTGAAGGACTTGGTCAATTCTCTACTACAGTAGCTGAGCTGGGAATAAAAAGCAAGGGTGTGCTTCTGATTGTTATTAATGCCACTACATACTTAAAAGGAAGGGGGACTGCACAATCAATGACAGGAAAATTGCTCACTTCCCCATAGAAAGTAGAGATTGCTTGATGAGATATAGATAAAATAGTCAACAGAATTCTAATAAAGTACTGTTGTAAGAAAGTAATAAGTGTTCAGTAATGATGATGTTCTGAGAAACTTTATATAATAAAAAAAGATTATTTAATGATGTAAGTGTGCAGCTGTTAAATAAAAAAAAAATGTTTTGGTTGAAACAGAAAGATAAAGGGAATGTTTAGAGAAATCACAATGTCAAAGAAAAATGATTATTTAGATACTTTTCAGTTTTATATTAAATCTGAAAGATAATAAAAAATGTTTTGATTAAAGGTACATATGAACCGAGCATCGGTGGAGCATGGATTCCCAGTAACACATGTAAACCACTTCTACTAGTTTCTTATACGTCTTAAATAAATTCGACATGCCAAGGAATAAACTGAATAGATCACTCGATCAGCCATAAAAGAGCTTTAGACTGCTCCTTTCTTTAAATTTTTTGTTGTTAATTTAACCTACAGTACTTTCATGACCTGCTTTTCCGCCCCATTGACATACAGCATGAAATTCTAGCAGAAAAATCAGTTCAAACATCTTTTTCGGGTAAAATTAAACAATGCCTTTTGGTAATTCTCTTAGTTATACCACTTGAGACTCTATGCTGGCATTTGGTTGGTTTTTGTGACAAAAAATTGACTTTGTATGCATCTTTAATGAAGATAATGAATTCATTTTTAGAAATTCTATTGTTATAGAAATTTGAAGGAAATATTCAGATTTATTTGTTTTTGTTTTGGGAAATAAGTGTAAGACACAAATTATGAAATATTGTATTTAAAAAGATTGAAATTAATAAAACAGACATATCTGATTTTGGCACTCTACTCAATTGTTGTGCGTTTTTTCTCTCTCTCCTTCTGGCATCACTCAATGTCAACCTATGTATGCCAAGCTGATATATGTTACTCTTACAGATCTAATTTTTAAGTGCAAAAAGGGATACAGAAAGACCTGCTTTCATAAAAAAGGGTGATACATACACTGTGCATGTTTTTTGCAATGCAACTTGGAATATAAAAACAAACATTTCATGATCTCACCTCTTGCAAAGGACGAGGCTGTCTTGAACTGAGATATGGCAAGCATGAGGAGGTCACTAGGTCAAGGTCATTCTCTGACACTGAAAGCTTGAAAGTTTGTCAAGATTAGCAAAGACATTTCACGGTGCAGCTGTGTTATGCACTGGAAGTTACACCATAATTTTCTTCTAACAACAGCTGAAATTAAAGTTATTATGGTAACCACTGTTACATTGCAGTATCAATTGAAAACAATTCTAACCACTGATTGACCATTTGTGGTAACTGTACTAAATCTAATATCCTCCCAGAGAGTTCAAATGACCTTCAGACCTCAATTAAAAACTTGTTATGCAATTGTCTCCCCTCACACGTTCTCCTATTGTGAGCAGAGGTGTCCTCCATTGTGAGGGGAGGAAATTGCTTGACCAATTAAGTAGATGTTAGATCATTTTTGATCTTAAAAGCAGATTCAGTTCATTTTAAGACTACTGCCATAATGAAGACCATGCAAGGTCATTTATGATCTGAAATTGCACTTAAAGACCAAATCAAGCACACTAGTGTAAGCATTCAGTTTAAAGCAACCCTGCCTCAAAGCGAACCAGAGGTATAAAGTTACCTGTTCACAGATGTGTCCTATCCCATGCAGTAGAGCTGCCTGCATTTTGAAGGCCATAGTGAATTTATAGGAAGCTCCAACTCTGAAACTTAGGAAATTAGGTGACAGTCAATCATTTGTATACATGTCACACAATAACTAGTCTCAGATTTGCCAGCCACAGTGGACTTCAGTCTTGTGAATGGCACTGACTGTACACTGTACACAACAAGAATACTGAATAATAATAATAATAATAATAATAATAATAATAATAATTAAACTTTGTACTTCATATAAGTTCAATGATATCAGCAAATTTATAAAGTTGAACTTTTAATGCATATGAGAACAAAACAAAGATCCTTAAATCATGATCTGCACTTTAAAAACTTTCAGGTTATAAATCAGAAAATACTGTAACAGTAATAATTCTAACAAACAATACAACACTGAGAGACACTGAACAGAAATCTTAATAATAAAGACCGTATGTCATTGTCAACACTTGAAATTAACTGGTGAGATGTTTGTCACCAAATTCTAAATTTATATTTGTCACGTATTTCTGTATTTAAAACTAAGTGAATAATAAGAAAAATATGAACACATCATCATACCTGACTTGGGCTTGTTTTTTCAATACTGCAGCTATTTTTGGAAGCACCTCCTTGGACACTCTAGACCGAATGAAGTCTTTACTGACCTCCGCCATTACACACAACACTTGAAAAGCCTGGCAAAAATGTAGAATGAATGATGCAAAATCTACACGACATCCACTCAGAACTAAACCCTCCTCCCATAATATAAAATGGGCTAAGACCCACAACACAATCTTTAAGGCCTGGAGGAAAAGGATCCTGATGTTCAAAACAAACAAACAAACATATAAAATGTAATCTCTTCAACACTTCTACCTTCACAAATTAACATGGCCTAAAGGTCTATTAAACATAGTTATATCTTATCAAACACAAACTTTAAGACCTTTTGAAAGTAATGAAATGAAACAAGGCTTTCTGCTGTCAGAACATTGACTAAGACTTTAGATCGACCTAACTCCCTGGGGGTTCACGCTAAATAGCTGTCAGCCGAGCGGGCACGAAAGTTAATTACCCCCTTACAGCTTGTAGGAAACGGGACTGACATTTAAGCCGGATTATCTGACAGTAATCTAGTGAGACTCCCCGCGGGGATAGATCGATCTAAAAGCTCTGGGAGCACGCCCTAAGATTAATAAGTCCCTTGGTTAAAAATAGTTCTATCCCAGAATAAACCTGATGGCAAAAATCCCGTGATTTACTTCAGAAGGTGGCTAATTGTTTTCCTCTTTTACCCACCTTCCTTATTACAACTTGTTCCTCATCATTTAGTCGATTGACAAACGGGGACCACAGCTTGTGCACCAGGGGCAGAAGATCGTCTGAAATATATCAGTGTGATTGCTTCAAGACACATGTCCAAATTTTGGCACTTTATAAAGTTTATCTAACCCAACTGTTGTCCCACTCATTATCTCTCTAATATTCATTGTGCAAGCTGGCTTAATAAATGCACTGTGAATATAAATACTACATGTGGTAACGGAGAGAGAGAGAGAGAGAGAGAGAGAGAGAGAGAGAGGGAGGGAGAGAGAGGGGAGAGAGACCTTGATATCCAGCAAGAACATGACAGCCAGATACAATGATGTCCAGTACCAGTAGCCGAAGTCTAGGATCAGCAGACGACATAAGATGTTTACATCTCTCAAGCACCTATAAAGGCAAAAAATAATAAAAATAATAATAATAAATAAATAATATATAAATAATATATAAATAAATAAATAAATAAAAATAAAATAAAATTCAATGTACATACAGTCTGAGCCAAAACTGTTATAACCTTAAAAGCCTGCGGTCTATGAGCTCAACGCCAGCCATAGTGAAAACTTGCTTTTCAGCACAGGACACTCACCTCCATAATAAGCTTGATGTGTCTTGGTGTTTCCTTTTTCTTTTCTTCTGAATGATCAGTTTCAAACTGACTGTCCTCATCAATTTTGGACTGCTTCTCATCTGCACTGAGCTGGCTTTGATCTTCTTTTTCATCATCAAAATCTGAATTGTCCAGATCTTCTGCAATTTGTTTGTGTTTTTGGTAATCCAAGAAAAAATTCAGCAATTGGTCTGATGTCAACTTTTCCCTTTTCACATCTTTATTTTTGGAATCAGTTTCTGTCCAATCAGTTTTCAGTTTCTGGTCAGGTGGGTACCACCTCAGAATGGAGACAGAAAGCGTGTGAAGAACTCTCAAAAATATGGCCGCTTCTTCATCATGATGCTGATCAAGGACATCCAATATCTGAATCAAATAGTCAAAGGGCTCTTTCAGACAAGCGTTATCTCATGGCTGGCACTTCAAATTCTCTCCTAAGATAAATGCACTTGTATTTTACTTACACCCTTGCCTGTATAAAATATACCAGGGACGAAACATCAACTGCTACAGGCTTTTACTGACCAGACCCAGCTTAACTGACGTTTGAATTGGGGCCAGACTGGAAATTCACATCTGTATTCATACAAATCATTTTGGGGGTCTTCAAACCTACCTCTTTTATAGTATCTTCTATGTAGTTCATAATTTCTTCATCGCTGTACTGTAGAATCACCTGAAGGACCAACGGTGCTTGGGGGTTACGACCAAGATGGCGGAGGCGTAGGGATATGGAGTTCACAAGATAATCACTGTTGCAGCAAAGAAGTTCACTGATGCCACTGAAGTGATAAAGCATATTAATTTTTTATCACTGAATAAAGGAATGACTTATTATATGTACACTGTGTTCTGAAATCTTAAGGATAATTATTTAAAAAAAAGTTTTACAATTGAAATATGAAATGATCCAATTATTTTAATCCATTTAATAACATATATTCAATATCTGGTATGAAAATCATAACACTGGTATTAAAAATGTGGCGATGAATTGAAAATGGAGAATTAAGAACAGTTTTATCTTTAAAGAAGACTAAAAATAGAGAAGAATTTGGGATGTAGTTAAAAATGCTGTTCTTCCTTTTATATGCATGGGAACTTATAATAACAAAAATTCTCACAAACCTACAGAAAGCATACTTCAACTAATACCATTCTTAGGCACCAGATTAAAAAAAAATAATAATAATAACAGCAACTATCCTTTTTTACATTACAATTATGACAACCACTATTATTATTATTATCTGTCAGGAAAGGGAATTTTTTTGTATACTTCTTATTACCATAAATATACTAATTATAATAACAAAAAGTCTATATTATCACCTGTAGCCACAACTTGAACTCACAGTACACAGAGTTTGATAGGCAGTATGGCTAATAATGGCTACATGGCTACCCAGCTTCTCCAGCAATGGGTACAGAATACTTATTAAAAGTTTGTTGAATTCACTTTGCAGAACCTAAAACCAAAAGATCAAGTTAGAGTAATTTTTTAGTCTTTTTTTAATACGTTATTTCAACTAGTGTCAAAAATTATACTTATATGACTTAATTTGTTTCTAAATTGATATTGTCCACATTTCAAACTTTCAGTATAAATCAAAGATTGCTGTGGAAGCCATTAATTATATCACTTTGATGTTATGTCAAAATATTTGGGTGAGAAAGAATCTTTTTAGATTTGGCTATTTTTCTTATATTTCATTAACTTGTAACAGTTGATACATGTTGTAATAAAAAAATCAACTTACTTTAGAAAAATTCCCTATCCCTTCAAGCTCTATACAAATTTGCATAATGTTACTGTTCAAAGCTGCCAATGACAGACCACCTCTCTTTGGGTCTGTTTGCAATAACCAATTAGAACAAGTGTTACTATAATTTGTGGCCTCTGACTGGACAGCTGTTGGAAGATCAAAATTTGCTGGTGACAGGTAATCTTCACATAATGACCTGAAAAAAGTTTTGAATCTTAGAAGTGATATTAGGTGCACACTTACTAGTGAAATTAATGGTGTCTTTGAAACAAAAATCTAATATGACTGAATATATGCTTTAGGAGTCTGGCTGCAATTCACAATTTAAATTTTAAAGTTTGGAACCAATATGAAATGTTAAAAAACTTTTTTTGATGTAAAACATCATTAGTATTACATATAACAATTTCTTATTCAATGAACAAAAACTGCAATTTGATTTAGTCTGGTCAAAAACATGCCAACATTTATCTACATAATACGTTCATTTGGATTATACAGAGTTATTTGTCCATGTTTATTGACAGATATGGAGCTGTGTGATACACGTGTCTCATTCTGGCCCAACCCAATGCCATAAATTATTTACTTTGGATGGATGTCAAGACGAGGCTCTGATTTGGATGAGAATGTTTTGGCTCCCAGGCAGCTATACAATAATGTACCTGATAAGATCTTCCACTTCAGGTCTGGTTTTTGCCACAGTTTTTAGATCAGATTCCACACCTAGGAGAATTGAAGGTAAATGTATTTTCACTTCTCGTAACACCATTGCTCATAGGCTGACACAAGGAGGGGGGGGGGGGGGGGGTGTCAAATGCACCCGACTGTTCTTCTTCATCCTACTGTTGAAGTACAGCATTTCAGCAGATATGATTTTGGGTTGTAAGAAAAAAAAAAAAAAACTCACAACAGAGGATCAGGGGCTCTTAAGGCAGAACCCCCCTGCCCTCTCCCACCACCACACACATGAAAAATATCAGCCTGACAAAAACTTCCTATAACTTCTATGCCCTGAAGGACACTATGGGACTCTATAGGAATACTGCAGAACCCTTCAACCCTATGGGACTTCATAAGAATTCTGTTGATCTCCTATGAGATTCCCAGCTAGAGCATATACTCTATAGGAACCTATAGGATTTTGGGCTATTTTCCTTTAGGGCATCTTTTAGGACCCTGGAAAAAAATTCCATTAGGGCAGGCATGCTGAGCAAACTGAGTACCATACATTTTGAATGAATTGATGATAATTAAAATGAAATTCTTATCTATTTTTCAAATTTTGTTAATTCTATTCATCATATTATTAACAAAATCTTGCAACATTGAAATTCAGAGAGGAGGAACTCACTGTCTCCCACCACCCCTAGCGCAAGTTCATTGAGGATCATGGCTGCCTCCTTCCTGTGGGCCGAGGACTCGTGATAGACATCTAGAAAATGATCCATAAGCAACTGGATATCTCCTGAAATAAAATAAAGTTTTTCTTTTAACAAATAAGTAATGAGTCAAGCCATAAATCATGAAAAAATTGGATAAAACTTTTATGAAGGAGTTATTATCAATCATTATTTGGATAAAACTTTCTCATTCTAAATAAATGTCAAATTATTGAAATATGAATAGATGATATAAAAGTATTGGAAACTCTCTTCAGAATCTCCAATTGAAGTCTTGCTTACAATACTTTATCTTCTGCTTCATTAGCTAAGAACCAAAATTATCACGAAAAGATGATACAAATCATCTTTGTTAAATGGACATCTAGAACAAAAGATTCATATACCGTGTATCTTGCAATCAGGCACAACACATAGGTATGCAAGTTATATACAGTGCACAATGCATGGATCTTTTGTCCTGGACATATGTAGTAGTATACATTGGATACACCTCTTGTCAACTACATGTACTAGTAGGTGCATGTGCCATTTCCACTTGATCACATGTGGTTCACTGACTTAGGGACCATTCCCAGACTCTATCGTACAAACTGGGGATCGATCTATCTCCATGGGGATTCTCACTAAATTGTTTTCAACTGAAGGGTTTTAGATGTCTGTCATGCCCACTAAGCTGCTAGAGGATAACTAATTATCGCTTAGATGGACCTATCCTGTTAGATCGATCTAGGTATGGCAACCCGGTCTTATTCTGTTCCTAAAACTTATAAAAATATTTGTTTTACCGAAATGTGCCAAAGTTCTGCAGATCACTGTCACCTCTTGGTATATCTTGTCATCATGGAAGTGTTGAAAGTACTTTCTGAGACTAGAATGGTGGATGTCAAGTTGATGAAGACCTCCTGGAAATAAATTGGCAGAGTAAAAAGAAAACAACCATCATCGTTTTAATTCACCACAGAATGAATGATTCAGAATTTCTCAAACAAAAGTTTATTATGTTAAGCTTTTCAGTGTTTTGGCTGTGTAAAAAAAACTTAATATTGAAAATTATGGTAGGATAAACATGGAATCTAAATGGATTACAGTGTGCAATATCATCCTGAAGGCCCAGGAAGCTGAAAAGTTTTTGGTACAGACTACGATAACTGCAGAAACTGATTTCAAATGTATTGTGTCATCATTAAAGGAATTATATCAGTCCAGCAGTCTGAACATTATAGGTTCAAAACAATCAACCAGATGATTTGGCAAAGAAACGGTCAAAAAAATTTCCAAAATACTAGTTCCAACAGACGGGTGCAGTAGAAATTTGGGGAGTCGTTTGAGTTTATTTCCCCAGTATTTATAGATTCCACTTTTAAACTAGACAGTTTTGAATCTTATTGGTAGTTTTCTTACGTCTTCACCAACCAACAGTTGTAAACTGGAATATTTTGCAGGATTAACAAGAAATTTTCAAGCACCGCAAGCAATCCACTAATTAACTTTTTCATGATTTATCATTTTTAATTTTACTCAAAAAAAAAAAAAAAGACACTTTCTGATGTGGAACCAAGTCACTTAACGGTATTATTATCAAAACATTCGTTTGAAGAACATTCCTTGTACATTTAGTCTTAATTTCTTTGGTAATCACCCTACCTGGCGACTGAGTTCTCTCCTCTATTATTTTCATGTCTGTGCAGTCCATCTCCAACACCTGAACCAGAGCCTGTGCCAGCCTCCTCAGGTGATGGTGGGAATAGAACATGGTGTTCACTTTGGAGCCTGCAAGAAATTATAGACAGTAAACTTCACATCACTTGTGACATTGTAACTTGAATCATCATATGATCCTTTATCTCACACAAAGCTTGTCGAAAATATTTCAATCTTTGGTTTGGTATTAGCTGGAACTTTATGAACATCACCTTGCTTCAAAATTCACATTAATTCTTGCAAAATTTTCACCCTCAAAGTGTTTATCATATATAAATTGTAATGTGAGGTCATAATTGAGAGTGAAAATTTGTACAGTCTCAAATCAAGTATTCAAACTCTGTATGTATAAATAACAATAATTAAAACTATTTGTTTTCCTTCTACATGGTATGCTCACAAAGACGAATGCTAAGTTTACTTCTCAGTACAAAAAAAGGTCAACCAAAATATTCCATGAAATAACCAACCAGTCTACCAACAAATCAACCAATCTTTAAATCAATCAAACAACCCAGTGCCCAGCTATCCAACTAATCAAATAAACCTTCCATTAAACCAATTAATCAACTGAACAACCAACCAACCAACCATCCAGTCAACCAATAAACCAACTTACTAACCAACAGACCAACCCATCAACCAAACCACCATTATTTCAACCAACCAACCAACCAACCAACCAAGTTATTTACAAAACAGTTAACCTAATAGCTGCAGATAGCCTGTGAAAAGCTTAAGAGTCATCAACTTGTCCCTGTCATCCGCCACCCTCATCACACGTGGCAAGGAGGTTGCCAGATGCAGCAAATTCTCTTCCAAGAGCTCCACCAAGGGTTTTATTTGTTCAGTGGCCTCACAGTTTTGTTGGAAGGTTGTCAAGGCCTGTTTGCTTCTGGTGGCAACATTTGGGTAATCGTCACCCAGCAGAGAGACTAGCGTCTCCAGAAACTGAGGAACACAGTTGGACAGGGATCTGAAATCAAGATTTTATAGAAATATACATTTTTCTCCTTCTTTATTTGCATCTATTTCTAATAAATAAATGGTTTTATGTGTTTGATCATCTGAACTAAAAATATACTATTGTACTCTATAAGTTGTCCAACTTTTTTATTCAGGATAATATATAATTAATCATGTATAAAAAATATGTAAAACTAAGGCTACAGTATTTAATCTTCATTAATGCTAATGAAAGAGTCAGACTTAGATGCTGAGTATCCAACACTCTCAAAGGCCCAAATCTGAAGGGGGTGAAAGTGGGGAAAAAACTGTTCATTGCTCTTTTGAAAGACCGATGCAAAAGAAGCTTAAACAGAAACAAGACAGTTAAGTCACTGCTACTTACTTTGAGCACACAGTAAGGAAAGATTCAGCCCACTCAACCAGAGAAAGTCGGACTTTCCAGTTACTGTGAGTAACAACAGAACCAATCCTCTTGATCAGTAAAATGAGTTTTTCTGATGTGGACTTTGCCCACTCTTCAGTTCTTTGGACTTGAAGCTGTCTGTGGGGGGTGTTACTGTTAGCTGAAACTGTAATCATATGACATTAAAAAAATAAATAAATAAAGATGCTGATACTTAGGACAATCTTCAGATATTAATTTTAGAGTTCATCAACAAGAACTGGGAGTATCCAAATTAATACAGATATATGAAAGAAAATATATTTGATTGAAATGTTTATTACAAGAAACCATCCAACAACGTAAATACACAATTTTCAAAAATCCAGACCCATTTTCAAAAACCCTAAAAACACAAGACTTGGTGCCAGGGTCTTAACTCTGTATAGGGGTGGGATGAGATGTGGGTTGGGATCTCAAGGGCATAGCCCCCCCCACACACACACACACCCACACACACACCCACACACACACACACACCCCACACACACCCACCCACACACCCACACACACACACACACAATTTTTAAAATAATTTTTCCTATACCTATCCAGATTTCCAGACAAATCAAAAAGACAAAAAGACTTAAAACTCTTCTGATGACTTACCTGGTTGGCTTTTATTTCTCAGTTCTCTGGATTTCTCTAGGTTCACATCCCCCATTACCAAGGTTACCAGTTTGGTCCAAGCTTCAACAGCACACTGGTGTTGAATAAAGCTCATTTTAATTTTCATCAATAAGTTTACCACTGTCAGCAAAGAACAATGTTGGCTATTAGTTGTCATTAGAATAAGATCAAATTTAAGGTCTAATAGAACTCAATATTGACTAATGGCATTATCACCAATCATAATATAGACCAATGATGTAATAGATGGTTCTTGGCCATTCAGAGTAAGGAAACATAATAATCAATAATATGATAACACTAAATGATGACAGCAACATTGAAACTTTAATTGTTATCTAGGAGGGCATATTAAATTGCATAATAAAAGCAATTACTGATTTTTGCTTTTGGTCAATACATGTATTTTTCTTTCTTTCTTTATTTTTCTTTTGAAGACTTCAGAAAAGTGATATCATCTTAATTTCAGCCTTCACTACTGTATATTTATCTTATGGATAAACTTAGAATAGTTTTTAAAGCAAATCATGCTCGACAGCAATTTCATCATTTAATACTTTGAGAATATTGTTCACACTGATGCAAAAACGTAGGGAACAGGAAATATTTTCACAGCTTCTGTGTAAAACAACAACAACAACAAAAAAACAGCAGCAAACAACTCTACCCCCCCCCCCCCCCAAAAAAAAAAAAAAAAAAAAAACTTTAAATTGAAATCTGTAAAACAAACAGTACCACTATGACACTAGTCCCTTGTTTGGTGTCTCCAGATATTATCTTGCACAGCCCCATGGCTATCCCAGGCAGGAAGGAGGCAAAGGTGTCACCTATCTGCACACTGAGAGAACAAGGCACTGCAAAAGTAAATTATTCTTAATGTAATTTTTTAAAAAGTATTATAACATGTATCTAGTACAAAGTCATGCTTGTATTACCTGTTGCAACTGTTTGAGAAAATTAACATTGAATAAATTGTTTGAAATGATTTCATTCTAAGACTTCCTTCTGTAAGTTCCCTTGATTTAATGAAAATATATATGAAGTTAGTGTGTGGGTGTGTGTGTGTGTGTGTTTGAGAGAGAGAGAGTGAGAGTGAGAGTGAAATACCACCTTTTCCATCACACTGCCCAAGAGCCATCAGACACTGCATGGCAGCCTTTTTGAGGTGGCGAGCCGACTCTGTGTCCACCATATGCAGCAGAAGAGAGACGGAATGGCCCAACGCAGGGATAAAACTCGCAGAATATGCAGCCTGGAGTACACTATAAAAATTATAATAATAAATTATTTTTTAATACATAAATGATCAGAATAAAAGACTGAACAATTAAATTACTTAATGAATTTATAAATTTAAATATACTTACTTGACCACTGAATGACTCAGTAAAGCCTGCAGGCACTGTACAGTGGCCAGTTTCAGTTCTTCTGAATGATGAGACACTGAAAATATAACAAAACCTAAGATAAGAATAATAAAAAATCAATCAAGGTCAATGTGCTCAAAGTTTGTGATACAATTACTTAAAAAAGGATGAAAATTTGGTATTTGCTCAAGTGAATCATAAAACCACAAATCTACAGCAGTGAACTGAATCAAAGATTTGGACCTTGAGCTCATTCAGGACAGCGAACTAACATATTCGCAGATCAAATATGGCCGAACCACTTTAGTGCTTGTTGCATAATCCCTGCGGGGAATCTATTCAGTGTCTAATCGGGACAAAGGGCTCATTGTGGCTGAGCTTACATTTCCCTGGTTCAGTGGGAGAACTGATCAGTAAACAAAGAGAGTTGAAGATATCATGGAACATGTCCCACTTCCTGACTTCTGTCCTCTCCAGGACCAGGCACATACAGCTGATGGCATCTGTGCAGAGTTCTTCAGAGCTAGAAAAAAAAAGAAAGTAAAATATCAGTTTGATTGTTTACCATGTTTTTCAACATCAGATTTTGGAAGAATCAATTGTTCTTTGTTGTTAATTCAAAAGGTGGATTTTCACAAATTTCATAATTTTCACAAATTAAAAAAAGATCTGGTCAGACAAAAACAATAATAATTTTGTCCTTTCACTCCAACTTTCACAACCAATATCCACAGGTATCCCTGCAGTATGCCCCCACGCCCCTCTTCCACAAGTCACTTATGTCAACCATCACACAACACTTGCAGCATATATCAGGGCTTGACATTAAGGGTGGCCCACTGGCCCTGGGCCACTGAAAACCAACCTAGGGCCATTGAATCGCTGGGGTCACTGGCCCATAGAGCAAGTAAAATGTCATGTGTCAAATCATCCTTGCAACATTTACCAATATCTCGGGCCAGTATCGAAAAAAGTTAGTGTCAAGCCCTGTATATGCCAACATGAGTCAATCCCCATGTCAATCTGCCTAGTGAGGTACTGCCAAGAACTCTGACACCACAAAACTCCTTTTTAGAATTACTTATCTACTCACAATTTAACTCCCTGCTTAACTATGATTCGCAGAGGAAACAGCACGTATTCTTGAAGTTCTTGCAGTTCTGATCTTTCCTCTGATTTCAATTTCTCTCGAAGCTCCTCTAAACCCTTCCTACTTGGACACTTGGTCAGTGCAACACACAGTGGTCTGAGGCGATCAAATGCGGATTTGCTGGCCATAGTTCGGTCACACCCAAATCAGCTTTAATTCATATATAAGCCCTGAAAATTGAAAAAATAAAAAAATTTAATACGTAATGATAATGATTATCCTAATTCAACTGCCTTAATTTGAAACTAATGTACTTAAATTATACAGTCTTATATGGCAGGGCTTGTCTTGTGCAAGAAATGACTTTTTCTAGTCTTGCACAGTAGTGGATTGCTGAATATGTGTAGAATTTGGCATGCTTCAGTTTCGCACATTACTCTTAGGGTAATGACTGCTCATTAAACCAGTCATTTGTTGATTTGACATTGTTGTGATGAGTGGGAGGAATACTGCAAAAGAGACTACTTGATCTTTCAGGGGCACTTGACAACACTATCCATCTAAGAGATTAAGTACATGTAGATAATTACCTGAAAATCAATGCACCACACAGCATAAATGAATCTATGTGAAATTTACCAAAAACTTTTACTTACATTTACTTTTTTGTCTTTATATTATGGGTGTCTTTGGAGATGAAGGTAACAATTTATATGAAATTCGTTAAAAAATACTTAAACGATATTGATCTTATTTTTTTAGGGTGGGAGGTAGACTAAATTGATATAAAGCAGTTTTATGTGGGTTTTCAGTTAATTACCCAATTAATTAACTAATCCAGGAGAGAGTCGAGTGCAATGAATGGTTGTTAAATCATGAAACATTGAATGTGAAATTCACAGGTACATTCAGAAACTCACCAACACGCAATACTGGTCATCTTCACAGTGATTTTCAGACGTCCACCGATTATTCCACAAATATCCACCATGACTTATGCTTCAATTACGAGTTTAATGATGAAAGCAGAAGTACTGAACTGCTCAATCTCTTTCGTTGAAAAGCACCGTGTCTGCGGAAAGCTTGTTGGAAGCCAGTATTGACCCTTTTCAATGATCATGGGAAACGAGTAGCCACCGATACTACATCAAAATGCGAAAATTTGATAATAATTTTATTGAATGCCCATGTTACTAATGGTGCATAATTAAAAGTTTGAGGTGATTCTGCTTGAAGCGTATTGCTTTCGTGGTGAAAATGACATCATGAAGGCACAATTCTGATAGTGGAGATCACGAGGGAATATTGGAAAAAGGCACAATATTTTTTCATTTTATTATTATTATTATTATTAGGCCTATTATTATTATTATTATTATTTATTTATTTTGGTGACTTGGACTTGTTGTTGTACTTAAATCTATATAAGGTCATCCGCGCAAACACAAAAATGCTGTTAAGCGGGGTTGATAGGCCTAAGTTTTTATCCGCTTAGATAATTATTAATTTTTTAATAAATGATTAATTAATGCAGAAATATTGTTAGGCCTATGAGCCAATGTTAATTAACACCGTTTAACGTCTTTTTAATTACTACAATAATTGCAACAATCTGGTTCCAGGAATATTTAAGAACGGCTTATTTCTGTTTTTTTTTTTTTTTTTTAATCAGTAGAGGCATTAAGACGATGGGTGGTGGAACAATGGTTTGTTCTAGAAGATTTAGGATTAGTTCAGTAATTAGCATTTGTTTCCTTTATTCCCTCACATGACATTCCGATTGCTTAATCAACTTATGGGAGAGATTGGAAAGATTCATAACGACTTGCCAAACCTAGATTCCAATAAAGAGACTGAGCAGATTAATTAAGATTTTCAAAACAATGTTGCAGGAGTCAGGATGACCTAAAAAAACAGGGTCTGATTCTTTAATTTGATGTTTTTGTAATTTCACAAATAGAAAGTGGACTTCTTATAATCTGCATTCTGGAGATCTCACAAATATTATTTTTTGTTTAAAGGGATTCAGTTTTGTTGTTTGAATTGACACTGAAATTAAGCCTCTGATCATGAAATGAAGACGGAGATGAATTGACTGCTTACACGGGGGTTAAACTCCTAAGACTGAAGTATATTGAGTTTAAGTTTGCCATTTGGTCTTTATTTACACGCAGTACACTTAAAATAATATGTGCACCCAATAACTACATATCTTGGTTTTCTTCGTCCCAAATGTGCACATGAAATATAGCACAGGTACTGAGCTTACCTATGCCCCGATTTGGCGAACCTTTCGATGCCCAAAGCTCAGTAGACGTAAGAAGATCGAGCTGATTTCTCTTGTCAGTGTTCATGTGGCGCTCTCTGAAACTTGATTTAACCTGCGTGAAATCGCGGAACATATAATCCCATATAATACCGATAGGATTACAAGACACCGGGTGTTATGCTGAAATTATGATATCAAACTGTTGTGGCAGATATATAGTGCATAATCCATGCTGTTCAGCGCAATTTGTTTTGTAACTCAAATAATGAAAAATAAAATAAAAGGGAAAAAAATAAGAAAAATAATCAAAATTTTTAACTGTATTGCAACGTGTTATTGCTTGGGCCTAGATCCATCTAAACAAGTCCATCTTAACAAGTTTAAATAATGCATCATTGCAACGACCGTGTTGGCAAAAAGGCGGTTGAGGTAATGCCCTTATGAAATTTCTGTCTGATGGGATTTTCTCAATTTTTTTTACGCGCATGGTTGACACTACTGTATCCATATTAAGATTCAAAAATGATAAGTGTGGTGATTTGAACTTTGTATTCAATTACTATAGAACCCTAGGGGAAATGTAATTGTTTTTGTTTATATTTTCAATTTTCTTCACAGATAACTTGTTTTTTTCTTTGCAGGTAAAGTGTTTTCATTGACTTAACTCGCCACACTTGGCCATCAGTATATAGCAAGACCAGAGATAATCAAAAAGTGATGGATATCCATGTGAATTTTATTACTATGGCAACCTGTTTTAGGAAAAAAACCGATTTTTAAATTCTATTGGTTTATTTTTAAAAGTTTATTTTTAAAAAATTTACTTTGCAAGCAAAACATTTTCAACGACTCAACTCACTATTTGCTGATCTTTTGTTTAAACATAAATTAATTGAGATCATTTTTATTGAAAGCATTTGTGAAGCAATTTAAAACAGCCTGACGTACAGTTTCGTCTATTGCTAGATCGTCAGCACTACATGTACCTGCTGATGCAATGCTTAACAAAAATGACGTTAATGAGCGACGTTGTTGCGCAGTGCAGTACCAAAAGGTCACTAACACTTGCACGGAAGATTATACGCAAATGGAAGAAAACACCAGAAATAATACTTTAAAATTGTGATTTTAAAAGATGAGAAAAAGCAAATGACGTGCAAAATGTTTAATCACAAATAAACAAAACATAAATTTGAACGATAATGAATTTAACAATAACAATAATCATATTCTTACGCTTACCGGGGTATTGCTTTTATAAAGAAATAAAAATTGTAAGTGTTTTTTAAATCGTTGAAATAAACACTTAGAAAAAAACATAACAATGATAATTAATACATTAAAATCCAGGTGACACCTGGATTAAAGGCCCACTCCACGAAATTTTCCCGACAAAATTTATTTCTGTAGGTTCTCTTCACGCTTTGAAAATGTCCACGGTAATATTTTTGTCTTATAATGCTTCTTATATTTCCAAATTCAGACTCTAACGACAATGAAATCCTTTAGATAAAAGTTTATCTAATATCACCTTAGCCTCCTTGGGAATGAAGCTATTGCCAGTTTGCAATGTCTTATGATACATGGCCGCGATACAAAACACTTTCTTGTGTGAAAACAAAGCAAAAAGCATGATGTCGTTAATTTCACTGGCCAGTCATTTTAAACTTAAGTATCAATTTTAAAATGGAATAAAACATCAAATCTAAAAACAGGGACGGGTCAAGCAATCGGTCTTGAGTCAGAAAAATAATTGCTCTTTTTCCCAGGAAAATTCATTTTGGATAATCTCGTGAAGTGGCCCTTTAATTATCTCTGCTCTCTGCAAGAGGCCTTTCTGGATGTTGCAAAATAAGACAAATCCTTTTGTAAGATTGGACTCTGGGTGAGAGCTGCTTATCTCGATTACAATGGTGGGGGAAGCCACAGTTAGCCTGGCTTCCTACTGGTTTAACTAATTACATAGATCTTGCTTAAATAAACCATCAGACACTAACTTAAACTGGGTTTGGCGCTATCTTATGTCTAATGTCTGAAAATATAGAAAGAACGCATAGTTCATGATTATCAGTTATCAGTTCTCTCTTCTTTGCACTGGCATGTGCTGACTCTCTACCAGGGCCACAGAGCGGATATTTTCAGTAAATATTCACATATTTTTCTCTGCCGACTCAGTCATGCACATTTCTACTCTGCCAGATGATGGTTTTTGCGCAACAACAATAGCCTGTCTCTGCCGTGGTCTCTGGTAAAGAGTTAAGTCATTATAAAAGTATCTTTAAGTTTGTTTCTATACAAAACTAATACAATGTACCAGTACCATAAAAATGTCTTATTGAATAGAATCTTAATGAAACAAAAATACTTAAAACTATCTTAACCTTTGGTAATATATTACTTTTAGTATGGTTATATTTGTAAACACCAATTTCCAACTAACTTCATACTTGTTCATTATTCAATTAACAATATATTTCTAAAAATATAATATTTCAAATCAACAATAATTCAGACCAACAGTATATCTTATATTGTATAAGTACAGACTTAAAACAAATACAGACCTGACATTTAATATGGAATATTTTTTCCAAATCATTTTTCATCAAATTTGTCATATTTTTCTGACTGATAAATAAATATAAGGATTAAAATCCTATTTTACGATATTTTGGATCTCGATATTTTCCAAATTATCATCTGTATAAGTGTTACAAAGGACCCTCATGTCAGTGTCTAGTCACAGCACGGTCGATAGTGCGTCTGACCTAAGCTGGTTGTTACCAAGGCTCTTAAGCAACAAGGCATTCCTTGGGATAGGATTTTAAAGTTAAATCTGGAATAATGTTCCAGGCATCTGTCAAAACTTGCCTAATTTATTTCAGTTTTGTTGTAGGACAAGTAGGCCTTTGATTTGGCAAGTGATGACCAACCTGGTTCAAATCTGGCGATCTTCATGGCCAAGGTAGCTGCTCATTTCCCTGGTTCTGTATATTATATGCGATTAAAATGTTATGTGTGAACCGGCATTTTCATCGTACAACTTAAAATTGTTCCTAAGGTGCCCCCTATCAAATGTTAGTCTAGTGGTTCTCAGATTATTCCTGTATTTGTTGTGGTTCAGGTTTTCATAGATGACTACCATTGGTGTCTTTGGCACCAATGTGATATCCACTCCAAATACTGATGCTGTCAATGACCCTAGTCACTCTACAGGCGGCACACGCTTCGTCGTAAGCCTCTTCAGGATGTTCGTCAACTCTTCTTTGACCACGTTAGCGGTACAGGTGAAATCTGACTTGAATCAAGAAGCCCGCGCGGTTTCGGTGTTCTACCCAAAAACTACCAATTCATTAGAGAAACAGACGACGATGTCGTGCTGTTTACAGTGGCTTCCTCAGAGGTCGTCTGGTATTCTTACCTGCAAAAACCAGTCTCGTGTTCGCTTAGGGCCTTTAAAAACACGTTCTGGCGGCAAATTGCCCCTCATTCTGAACGGAATGGGTGGATTTTGTGTAGTTGCAGCAGTATATCCGTTAGGACAGTGAGTCCTTTATCCTGGTGAGAAGGTTTTGATACATAGGGCGTGGTCTCTGTGTAGTAACGTCAGTCTGGGCATAATTCTATAAAACTGTGCGGACCGTTCCGTGTGACACAATAAACTGTGTGGCAATGTCTGTCTCTTTGGCGCCATTCAGGTACAGATAAACAATGTTGTAAAACACTGCTTGGCTCATTTTACGCAATGCAAAACCGACCGCTTGCACGCAAAATTTCAAATTCTTCTGTGCAGTAGCTGCCGACATATGGATACTTTTTGGACAGAACCG